AATGTACTTAGTTCTACACTATATTAATTTGTGTATTGAGCACTGTTTAATGGCGTTAGCTCCTTTCTCAAATGATTGTAACATCATATACTTAATTTATTGCCTTATTTACAAACATGCTTTTCCACTGTCTTTTTGCATTTTTAAGGCTGATTTACATACCTAGGTTAATAAGATTAGGACAAGTTTTAGTTTACAAGTGGTTTACAAGCCATTTACAAGTTTTTGTCTTGCTTGTCAAGTTGCATAAGGTGAGTAGCATTGTGTAAATCAGTATTTAATGATTACTTTACCTTGATGGTTGTTTTGTCCATACTCAGTAAAACATAATCTCCTATTCTGTGACTTTTGGAGTTAACCTTTGACTTATATAAAATTATCTAAGAATAAAAAGGCACACAACATGTACTGATGAAAATGTTTRAAAGAATGAATGTATGGTAAATATGAATAAAATGTAATTTGGTTTTGAACTAAATTCCGCTGGTTGATCCCACTGTTTGACAAATAAGGGAAGATATTAATATTGCTTTCTGTACATGTAGGTGTTACAGGTTACAGGTAGGTGGAAAATGCAGTAAAATGCAAAGGCTATTCTGTAATTAATAAAGATATATTTTACTGACCTTTGTAACCCAATCAGTGTGTCCATATTTTGTCATCTGGCATGCACCTGTTGACATAGTCCAGACTTTGACTGTAGTGTCAGCTGAACCACTGACAATAATATCCAGCTCATCAGAAAAATCTACACAGAAAACTGTACACAGAGAAAACAAAGTACTTATGTATCACTCTATAGCAATGACAGTGTTTGCTCAAATCCACAAGTTACTTTGCTAATATTTCAGGTGAATGATGTCCAGGTATAGAAAATTGTAATATAACAATCACCATGATATTACTACCATCTTCTCCAACCCTATTTTCTACTTACTACCATTGTGATCTACTGATCGATGAGATGCTTCATTGACATAAGAGTGTCGAAGCATCTCATCGATCAGTAGATAACAATGGTAGTAATTTCTAAGACCTTCCTGGCATCAAGGTAATGAAATRAGTAAAACGTATTTTCTACTTGACATGGCACAATGTGACAGATGAATTATTACCTGCACCAGTATGACCTTGGTAACACTGCAACCGTTGCCCTGTTGACCATGCCCACATTCCAATAGTATTATCAAATGAAGCAGTAATKACTTTTTCAGTATCAAAACCAATGTCTGCACAGGTATGTGTAAGAAGAACATGCTGACAATGGCCTGTTAGAAGATCCCATAGACGAACTGACCTGTCATCTGAACCTGTTAGAATCGAAAAATTAGATGGAACTCATTGCCTCATTTTATATTTGTATTTTATTTTGYAATTAAAATGATGTTGAAATGGCAGATTCTGGTTGGTTGATGTTCTCTGATCAATAAGTTATTGGGTTTATAGTATGAAAAATCAATGCAAATCTGAGTTYATATGATATAATGATCTAGTCCTAGTACATCAATTATCAAGCATTTGATCATTTTGAATCCAGATTGTAAGAYTCAATTTAATGTCAATGGGTTTTTTGTTCTGATATAATGCTACTAATTCAGAAAAAATAATATTGGGATGTTAAATAAACAAGAAACAGTCTTCAAGATAATGCAGTCAGCTGGAGACCKTAAAAGTTRCATGRTAGCCTAAAAGGTTTGTCCAGGAATCTACCCATTTTCAWGGAGTCACCAATCAAGCAAACAGCTTTGCAAAYAGGTGGTTCARTAGAGCACCAAACCCTTTTTAGCCTGTTCTRTTGATMTGTTGGTCGTTGGGAAAAAGGTTCAAGAAGAACTTGTATGCGCATACACTGCATCATCCAATAAGGAATGTTCCGGCATTATTTGTCTCATGGACCTCAACACATAATCACATACTATCTAGCCACAACCTGCATTTAATTGATGGCATTGTATACTTGGGCTTCACTGACATTGTCTTATATTYGTCTTTACTCACATTAAAATATAATATTCATATTCTTTTAGAGCATTTGATAATATTTAAGAATTATAATTACTCTATCTGAGGAAAAGAAATATACGCATTGATTTTTTTCAGAGGCATGTGTTGGTATGGTGTGAAACAATTCAAGATTTAATATTTGGAGAACTAATGAATTCTGTAAACTCATTTTTGTTCTCATGTCTTTATATAACAATTAGAGTGCATGCCACATAAGTGTGAAACAATTCTTAACTAATAAATTGACTTTATTTTACGAGGGTAACACGTGACAGTAAAGAACTGATGAACTTGTGGCCATCACACTCACACTCACTACCTCTACATTAATTATTTTAGCACACAACACTCCTCACATGTTGATTTTTACTGAGGGAGGAAAACCGGAGGACCCGGAGAAAAACCCTCGTGGCAAGGGAGAGAACAACACATCAAACAAACTCAAACTCACATATGGTCCGTGCCCAGGAATCGAACCCGGACCACAGCGGTGAGAGGCCAGTTGCTTAACCACTAGACCACCCTTGCCACCCTAATAAGATTTAGTTATCAGCTAACTAAGAACTCAGTGAGGCATAAACAAAGACAATTTCCTTTCTGACATGTAATGCTTATTCCCTAGTGAATTCGTAGTTACCTTATAAATAAATTTTATTGGTTGTTGAGTGTTTGTTCAAGAATTCTTTCAGTTSTGCACTATAACATATACAAAGATTTCATACTTTTTTGTGATGTCACATGAAATCCAAGAATTGCTGATTGTATTTTGTGAATAGTGTTTGGGGTGGTTGTACAGAAATGCAAACCATTGCAAAACTCTCATTCCAAGATGAGTAATAAACTTATGTACTTTGAAGATCCGGTAATTGCACTACGTACTGGATGGGGCTATTAGAGATGGGTTGGCCATATTGGTCTAAGGTGGTGACTATAACTGTACCTGTAGCAAGCATATCCTTTTTGTAACACAACGCAAATACGCGAGCAGTATGTCCATGCAATAGTACTGTCTCAAAAGCCTTGTCATTCTTTAAACTGTGAATTCTCCTTTTTGCTTTTAAATACAGTCTTTTCCATCTTTCATTAGAGATGTCATTCTCACTCATCGTCATACCAAGACGCCTACACGCTTTTTGCCATACTTGGTGGCAGCTAGATATAACTTTGTTCCATTTTTTACTAACAAGACAACAACGACATAATGAAGAAGGGTCGATCCACTTCAGAATATGGTAACACAACTCTAAAGGAAGGTTCTTCAAAAAATCTCTTTTTACAAGAATTTCGAGCTTTGTAGACAACAAACGAAGCTGCTCTGGACCACAATGTTTTATCAACTGTTCAATAGCCATATTCTTCTGTAAATCTGTTAATCGAGTAAAAGAGTCGCAGGTTTTTTGAAGCCATTTTTCAAATTCACTTTCCCCGASGTCTTCTTCTTCGTCCATGTTGTTTAACGCAGTCCTCCTCCGCCAATAATTACCGCCAGAGCCTTGCCTTACTAATTCCGCTGACCAGAAATCATAACAAGCAAAAAAATTAATTAAATTAAATTGTATAAGTTACAGTAAAAATAAATAGTGGAGCTTGCTTCAAAGATGTTTGRTGGACTTAATTCTTTACTTGATTTGAAGGAGTCACAGTCTATTAAGGTAGGAAGTACTCTGCTTTTTTTTGCATCTAAATACAAGAAACGATTAAATGTAATGATTCTCTTGTATTTCTCTAGGGGAAGTTCATCTTACTCTCAGATAATCAAAATGATGGAAGTTTTTTAGTCCATTATTTCCTATCTCTTTATATCAGAGGTATTTATCAAAGCTTAAATATCCATGCTTATTTTTCATTGTTATTTAGAGTATTTGCATGCACCTAAATATTTATTCATATAATTTACTGTGCCCATGTCGTAGGCCAGGGGCACAAGGTAAGTTAAGTTATTAAATGAAATGCCTATAATTTTATTTTTTCCAATTGCTCTCCGAGTCAAATACAAAGTGACGTCAGCACTCCATCTGTAGAATTAGCTCCATTTCAGCGATTATAGTTACCCACACAGCTTACTATAATCAACGAAATGAAACAAAACCTCTCCCCTCCCACCTCAGTTATCCCTTATGTTTAGAAAATTGTACAATCTTTAAATTTCCATTCAAATATTCGGTAGATTATCACTTTGTGATTATAAGTAATTATATACCGATCACATTACKTCATCTAGTCTTTTAAGTCATAGTGAGTGACGAATATGTGTCATTACTGTTACTGTTCGATTAGAGAGCATTAGTTGAAAAGCTTAAAATATCATTATGATGTCAGCATTTTTCTTATTGTTTTGTAGGTGGTTTCAATGTCTATTTCATTGCTCTCTCACAATCAATAGCACATTACACTAGTGTAGCACAAAAGTTGGTAAGGGATAGTATAATATATTCCTATATTAAAAGACATTTGGTGGTCTTCCTTGATCAACCACAGTTTGCCTCATACTGCTGRTTGACTTAGGTTAGAAATATTGGAATAGGTTCTTGATTAGGATCRTGTCAGGATCCTAGCCAGGATTTGCACCAGATTTGCACCAAGATTGCAAGGGCAGTGAAACTTTCTTCTTATTATTATCAATACTTCACTATACTGCTCTACATAAAAACAACACAAGTAAAGAGAAATAAGTACTAATAATAACTACCGGTACTAAATAATGTTTATTTGACAATAGAGTGATCSCACTTACAGTAAATTGTGCAACTGTACAAAATCTAAGTAATACTAATTTGTACTTAGTGGACCTGGAGCAAGATGGTATTGAATGTTTCATTTGCATCAATTCAATGTGTGTACTGCATGCATGATTTACTAAATACAACTAAATAGCACTATTTAGTTTGTACACGGTGCAATCACTCTAGAAAACAAAGTAATTTGCAAAATTTAGTACTATTTTGACCTTTTTTTTGTTTCATGGACTAAGTGCATCGTCTCTACCTGCTGATTTATGTGCTATCCTTCTCATGTTTGTTGTTTCCTTTTAGGGAAGTAATCTTCCAGCTGCAATTGATAATGGACAAGTAGAATATATCGATGGACTTAAACTATTATCAAACAGTCTTGGCAACAATGACAAGATAAGCAATAATCCATTTAGTAACATAAGGTACATTCAGAAACCTATAAAGGGACTTGAAATGTGTAGCGCCGTGTCATCTGTTGGAATAGTCAAATCTAATTTGCATCTCATTTCCTTATTTGGAACAATTCAATTTGCCCTAGCCAATGACCAGAACGGGCCTTAATCTCTTATCCAATGGCCGAATTTTCCAAATATGGTTATAACGTTTGTTTTCAAAATTATTACTTGCACTTGTTATACAATAATTTTTGAATTAGAACTGTTGAGTAGCACAAAGACAACCGCCCAAATCATTAGGAAATAACTGCACAATACTTATGCACAGGAAGCCCAAGTATATTAKCAGATGTTGACATTACTAATGGCGCAAATCACCTACAAGTACATTTGTAATTTGTGGAGGCCCTGTCAGTCTTCTAAATTCAATTATTGGCAATCAGGATTTAAGTATAGTTTAAAACACGAGAGAGAGTGTTTTAAAAGGCTTCAAAAACCCCAACACTAATTTGAAGCTCAAATCCATTAAAATTATTGGAGAAATTGCTGTAAAAATAAGTTTTGAGGTAAATGGGGCAAACTGATCATGCGCGAATCACTTTACAAAGCACTCTTGTCATCCCACATTGAATACACATAAAGTACAATAGAAACGCTGTTGGCTGTTTGATGAAGTGCGGACTGCTATTATGCTATTACGGTGAGTGTGTCCTGCATATAGTGGCTTGATGAAATTGGGCGGCGGCTATTACGCTATTACGGTGAGATGTGTCCTGCATATAGACTAGTACTTTCTATTACATTACGGTATTGCAATATACTGATAGAGATAAAAAAAACTCTCTTAATGAGATATGAGCAAAAGTAGAGAAAGGTTAACATTTATTAATGGTTTTAGCAAAAAAGGCATGAAATAATGGTGAAAAAATATATAGTTATCAGTAGCACAACAGTTCAGAGAGATCTACATTTACTAATAAAAAGACAAATAAGTGATGATTGAAACGATAAAGCCACTACTAACTAAAAGCAACGATGTAGAGCCGAAGTGAAAGATGCGCAAAACAGTATAGGAGGAATTCAATGGCAAATCAACGACATCAAATCACAAATAATATAGAGATTTAAAATACTAATGMATTTCAAAAGAAGTCTATAGCTATAAAGTAACGGAGAAGAAAAAAGAGTGATTACGATACTATGCGTAAAAAGAATAAAATAATGAAAATAGAATCCTAAAACAGGCAGCATTTGGGAATTTACTGCAGCAGAGAACATTTTGAATAATAATTTAACCCACATGGAAAGCAAACCATCTGTTGGATAATGGATAATCTGTCTTTGCTTGCTTCAAAACCTTATAASAGTGAAGGTCTACGATGTGATATTAGACTGAGGCCTTTGCTTGTGTTGGGTTGTCTCAAGGCTACGACTTGTGTT